GGCTTGACGACTCATTGCGAGCTCACAGAACAGGGCTCCGGGCAGCCGAGCGGAAATGGAGGAAAACTAGACTCCCTGCGGACCTGTCATCTTTTCACTCCCTCCTCTCTACATTCGCTTCCTCTGTTTCTGCTGCTAAAGCCACTTTCTACCACTTTCAAGCCTCTGCCGCTAACCCTAGGAAGCTCTTTGCCACCTTCTCCTCCCTGCTGAATCCTCCTCCTCCTCCCTCTCTGTGGATGACTTCGTCAACCATTTTGAAAAGAAGGTTGACGACATCCGATCCTCATTTATTAAGTCAAATGACACCGCTGGTCCTGCTTATACTGCCCTACCCTATGCTTTGTCTTCTTTCTCCCCTCTCTCTCCAGATGAAATCTTGCGACTTGTGACGGCCAGCCACCCAACAACCTGCCCGCTTGACCCTATCCCCTCCTCTCATCTCCAGACCATTTCCGGAGACCTTCTCCCTTACCTCACTCATTACATTGACATTTACATTTTAGTCATTTAGCACTATGTCCCTTCCATCTTCAAGAGAGCGAGAGTTGCACCCCTCCTCAAAAAACCTACACACGATGCCTCCGATGTCAACAACTACAGACCAGTGTCCCTTCTTTCTTTTCTCTCCAAAACTCTTCAGTGTGCCGTCTCTAGCCAACTCTCCTGCTATCTCTCTCAGAATGACCTTCATCCAAACCAGTCAGGTTTCAAGACTGGTCATTCAACTGAGACTGCTCTTCTCTGTGTCATGGAGGCTCTCAGCACTGCTAAAGCTAACTCTCTCTCCTCTGCTCTTATCCTTCTAGACCTATCTGCTGCCTTTGATACTGTGAACCATCAGATCCTCCTCTCCACCCTCTCCGAGTTGGGCATCTCCGGCGCTGCTCACTCTTGGATTGCGTCCTACCTGACAGGTCGCTCCTACCAGGTGGCGTGGCGAGAATCTGTCTCCGCACCATGTGCTCTCCCCACTGGTGTCCCCCTGGGCTCAGTTTTAGGCCCTCTCCTATTCTCTCTATACACCAAGTCACTTGGCTCTGTCATATCCTCACATGGTCTCTCCTATCATTGCTACGCAGACGACACACAATACATTTTCTATTTTCCCCCTCCTGATAACCAGGTGGCGAATCGCATCTCTGCATGTCTGGCAGACATATCAGTGTGGATGTCGGAACACCACCTGTATTGGCTGACCATATGTGTGAGGAGGAGACTCCGCATAGGAAGGGTTAAATACCAGTGCTTGTGTGAATATGTTTTCTGTCTTATTCAGCTGTTTGCCCCTTTGGGTGAATAAACCTGGTTTGAGTTTTAACAAATCGTCCGTGAGTTTTACTCGGTTCGTTTAGAACCTAACAAATGTCTTCAATTTCCTATAAAAACTAATTTTGTGACCCAGAAACCGTACGGTGTCCTTTCTTCAATATACACAGTGTAGAGCAGCCACTCACTCCCTCTCTGTCTGTGGTCAGCATGAATCCAGTTTGACCACACATCATCCATTCCTACTTAATGGTCTGCTTCTCCAAAAAAACGAGTCCTGCACAGCGCCTTGAAACCATCCTGATATCTGGGTCGATCACAGTAAATCCCTCCACACCGTCTCACCTAAACCTGAGTTTAACTAAGATCGGATTCAGTGGGAAGACGATTCATGGCCAGACCGCAACTTCTGCAGACCTAACTGAAGGTTGTGCAATGTTTTTGAGGGTTTGTTGTACATCTCACTGGGGTGTTGTGGAAACAAGATGGTGAAACGAAAATAAAAACGAAATGCATCTTGAAGAACAATTCAAGGCTGCCAGTAAGACTACTACACTAAGTTGACAAATGGAGATCCTGGCCTATTGCAGAAATATTCACAAGTCCAACTCCGCCCATCTTCTCAGTTGTACACATCTGATGTACGTTGTTGGCATTTGGTGTCATGGCGCAGGGGGTGGGTCGTGGGGACGGGGAGGTAAATGTGAAAACAGAAAGGGCTGAAACACCATGGAGGTTCATTTACAGCACATTCCAGCCTACATTCTCAACACAACAGTGTGCGCTTTCATGGCTTTTATCTGGCTGGCTCTGCAGAGGTCAGCACATTGGACAGGAACTGGGTCTGCCTCGGGCTATTTACATGCATTATGTCAAAGGCTCTGGACAGAGATCCTCACAAGAACTCAGTGATGGACTTCCACCCTCCAGCTATGAGATATTTTATCTCACTCACCCCACTTTCATGCACATTATCTTTTTTCAATTTAAGGAAAAAATCTTTCACTGGAACGGATGGATTTGAAAACATACTTTTTTCCCGACAACTGACCTGAGCTTAATTCTGAAAGATATGTCAACACTTTGGTAACCTCGTCCCCAGGCTCAATTGCTACCATATGTAAAGCCTGGTAACACTGTGCTTCAAAGTGGAACTTGAAAGGGGTGTGGTACAGAGTTACAATGTATTAGATGGGACTATGAAAAATTGCGAAAATCGGCAATCAAAATAAATGTATCACATTGACCATATTATTTATTAATTGATTCGGAGTTAGGGCATATAACGTTTAAATGTGAAAACTATTTCTAAGATGCTTACTTTGAGATTTTCCAAACTCACTTCTTTGTTTAAATCACTTTCGCTGCTCACTTTGAAGTCCACAATGAAGGGGGGAGGTTCTAAGGGTTATGCTAGATGGTAATAGCTGCGAGATCAGCCAATTAAAACAGCAGTTGTTTCATACACTCCTGCCATATGCTTTCATTCAAATTCCATTCTGAGGCGCTGTGAAACCAAACGGTTCAACACAGAAAGAGCCGGCTGGTGGACGAGATTAACACTGGTATTGACAAGACTTTAAACCTTTGAAATTCAAAGGCCATAACTGGACAGAAACATAATAGGATAAAAGGATTCCCTAAAATATGTGACCATGCACAGTGTTATTCCTGCAATTACCACCATTTAAGACTAGACTAAGCTATGTACACACTTAACGGCAATCAACGAAAGAAGAAAAAACAGAATTTTTATGCATTTAGGGATGCTACGTTTGCTTCATCAAAAGTTTACTTGTTGAGAACAGGATATGAATCATCAGAAGTGTAGATTTTTCTTGCAACCCAACTGACGAGTGAGTTTAAATGGGGGTTTAATAAAAACATTGCTCGTTGCTTAGAAACAAATGAGCGGATTAGTGAAAACTTGTCAGCTTAAAATATGGGTGGAATGTTTTTAAAATCTAAATTGCTACCTTGCACAGGATGAATGGGGGAGATAGACATATGCAAAACTGATTGTCTTTAATTAGACCTGCTAAACTAACATTTTAAACTTCTCTCCAGTGTTCAGGACTGTGGCTGGTACTGTATATGGGGCCTGGAATCACCACACAGGAGACTACATCCTGTACGCCAGGGTTCTCCACCCTTTTCTAGCATGAGAGCTACTTTATTTTTAAATGAAACGTGTCGCGAGCTACAATTGTTTTTCTAGCTTTCAAAATAGTAACATTCTCTTCTCCTCTCCCCTGCAACTCTTCCCCGGGTCCTTAATGTACAAGAGAAAGTAGGGCACTATGTTTATTTTAAAAAAATTCTGTCAATATACCTGGTAAAATAATGGTTAATAAACAACTAAGGGGGGCCCTTTAAAATCTGTCATTCTTTCCCCCCAAATACGTTTTTATATTTTCCAAAATCATGTTCTCAGTTACATTTTCGCTGGTTTTAGATTTTTTCGATTTTTCACTCTTAAAATTACAATTGTTCATAGATAAAACGAAATAGGATGTTCTGAGTCCATGTCAATGCTTAAATCACATCTGAAGACAATTCTTTTTTTAGGTCTGGAAGAAAACTAACATATTTACATTTTTGAGTGCAATTCCCCTTTAATTGCGCATCTGGCCCTTTAATTGTGCATCTAGCGAGTGAGGACTGTGCGTCTAATGTTTCGGTCTAGTGATGGTTCTGTACTGCTGCTCATTTCATGGCAAAGTTTGTAAATAACAAATAATACATACAAATGATATACTTCCTCATGATATACTTCTGCCAGGTAAGCCTACTTTGCAGTTAACATTTCATTTAGAAGGTTTTGGGGAATGTATTTCTGTCAACCCACAAGACGGTTATCACATCAACTGGCTACACACGGAGTGATAGACAAATGTGCGTACCACACGCAGGAAATTAATTGGCAGATATTGTGTTAGGTTTGGCTTTTTAAGCTAGTAGCGGCTAACCAGGGGTGGGATAATGTCAATGTTGCGTTGATTAGATGGTAGCTGGGAGCTTGCGGTGTCTGATACTTGTGAGATTTGTTTATGACATTTTACGGTGGAACACGTGAAAATTGCATGTACTTTCAGAATTCTTTGGCGAGCTACTCATAGGTGGGCTGCGAGCTTGGTAGCTTGCGATTGACCTGTTGGAAACTCCTCAAGTATGCATTAGTGTTGAGAGTGGTTCCTGAAGTAATGGGAGTGCTGCAGTGTAAAACAGGGCTGTTATCTCTCACAAGCAGTGGAGCTACTCCAGTCCAGACCCTGACTACATTAATGGAGACCTTGGCTGGCCTGGCACCCACAGCTCCTGGAAGACTCTCCTTTACGGTCCAGCCCTGCTGCTGTAGTCAGTGCCCACAACACACTCATAATGCCAGTCAGACCTGTAACGCTACACCTGAATGGCCAATAGGAATCATCTGGCCCCTGTGGCAATATATTCACACAGACATGGCTTTGTTGCTAATTTTAGACTCTTGACTGGACTACATGTGCAAAAGCAACAGTGTGATTATTTTGTGTCGTGGTTCAGTGAAAGGAAATGGTAATCATGAGGGCTTACGTATTGGAACCAGAAAAATAAGAAAAAACGACATTGGAAACAGTCCACTACCATGCTGAAATTCAAGAGGCAGGGAGCAGCCTGCCTCTACAGTACAGCAGGTTGTCTCCACAAGCTACGCAGGTAGTAAGACAGTGAGTGAAGACATAGCCTTACTTGTGGAATCTTCCTGAACGATCCTCGTTGTCAGCATAGAGGAACATTTTTAAGGCATAGTTTTCGATGTGTGCATTGCCGACAACTTCATGGGTGATTGAGTCATTGTCAGTCAGCTCCTTCTTCATCTGAAAAACACAGCAGCATCAATCACACAATTATGTTCTGCAGGCACATCCAAACTGAAAAACCACCGACTGCAACGTTTTGTCCTGAATACAAAGTGTTATGTTTGGCGCAAATCCAATACAACGTATTACTGAGTACCACTCTATATATTTTCAAGCATAGTAGTGGCTGCATCATGCTTGTCATGATGCTATGGGTATGCTTGTCATCGTTAAGGACTGGGGAGTGTTTCAGGATCAAAAAGAAACAGAATGGAGCTAAGCACAGGCAAAAATCTACACTGGAGTTGCTTACCAAGACAACATTGAATGTTTTTACTTAAATCTACTGGAAAATCTGACCTGAAAACAGTTGTCTAGCAATGATCAACAACCAATTTTACAGAGCTTGAATGATTTTGAAAAGAATAATGGGCAAATGTTGCACTAACCAGGTGCGGAAAGCTCTTAGAGACTTACCCAGAAACACTCACTGCTGTAAATCACTGCCAAATGTGCTTCTACAAAATATTGACTCAGAGGTGTGAATACTTATGTAAATTAAATATTTCTGTATCCCATTTTCAATACATTTGCAAACATTTCTAAAAACATTTTCACTTTATTATGGGGTATTGTGTGTAGATGGGTGACAAAAAGCATTTTTTAATCCATTCTGAATTCAGGGTGTAACAACAAAATGTGGAATAAATCAAGGGGTATGAATACTTTCTAAAGGCACTGTAAATCTTTCAACTGACACAAAGTGCTCCTCCTAGATTCCTGGATGCTGAACAGCACACACAGACACAGTCCATACATAAAGGGAGTCTGTGTACTGTACTGTGCATGGACCGTGTGACAAATCTGCGATGGCTGTGTTTTTTCTGAGAAGTGAGGCTTTCCATGGTGTGACTCATTGATTCCTGGGATGCAGCAGAGAGCACACACTTTAATTCCACTCCAGAACACTCTTATAATTAATAGAGTATAGCATGGTGGGGTGGAGGGTCTCTGGAGACGCACCCACAGATTTGTATTTGTATTTATTATGGATCCCCATCACTCTTCCTGGGGTAGTTATACATTTTAAAAACATTACAACACATTCAAAACAGATTTCACAACATATTAAGTGTGTGCCCTCAGGCCTCTACTCTACTACCACAGATCTATAAAACAAAATCCATGTGTACGTGTGTATAGTGCATATGTTATCATGTGTTTGAATGCATGTGTCTATGTTTGTGTTGCTTCACAGTCCCCGCTGTTCCATAAGGTGTATTTTTATCTGTTTTTTTTGAGCCAGGAGAGATTGACATGCATATTATTAATGTTAGCTCTCTGTGTACATCCAAGGGCCAGCCATGCTGCCCTGTTCTGAGCCAATTCCAATAATAACGTGGACATTAACCAAGGGATGGTTTTACCACTCTCATTTCAACAATACTGGACAATAAACCTTGCACAGAAGACCACTAGTAAACCACTGACCAAAAGGACGTTGGATTTCACCGGAAACATCAAAGCCAGTGGCCAAGAACTGGCACTTAACTTTATTACACCTCTCTTACATGGCAATGAGTCACATATGACAATACCAGTGACTTTAAAACTTGTCATTTTCCTCTACCCTAATTGTGATTGGGTAGTTGTCAAGATAATTTTGTCTTCATCCTTATATGTTCAACCCGTTTGCCCCTGACAAATTAAATGATTGCTGTGTCTTAATGCTATTGTGTCTTAATGGTTTGCAGCAGCCAGTGCCCAAAAATGCATCCGCAAAGCTCACTTACTGCGACAGAGGCAGCCGCTCTCTGAGATGTTGGTCTGCTAGAGAGCGTCAGGTTTCCTTGTAAAATCAGTAAAGCAAATAATACTGGTTACATTTCAACAGGTGGACTCTGCTCTTCTGAATGGACGTACTGTTCACGTTTTAATGAAATCGCAACCTATCCTTAAGGCAATACAAAGCACAGTACATCACTTGTGCTAAAGTGTAGCGGAGGACTTTAAAAACAACTTGGAAGGAAGCATGCCGACTTTATAGAAAGAAGAGTCAAGGATCAAACTCCTAATTGAATCAAAGGACTTAGTTTGGATCACACCACTCAAACTCCCCTGGGTTCTCTAGAAATCCATGTTGTACTAGAACAACTTTGCAAAACAACAGTGATTTCCAATAGTTCAGGCCAATATTACCATGAAAGGCCGCTTCTTCTTTCATGGTTTTGCTGTCATTGCATAACAGAATGAGTGACATGTCTTGCTTGTAGCCCTTTTCAAGTGTCTAAAAGCAACCCTAACAGACCAGAGCTAGACCTATTGACACTCCTGTAGAGCGACTGTAGGAGAACAAAAACAAACAGATAGTGCATTGAAGTGACTGGGCATGTAAATATTGAAGACGCCCAATGCTACGATCAGGAAAACAAAAACAACAGCAGTTTCCATGAAACAGACGCCCATTAGTGTATAGCGTAACTACTGGCAATATCTTCCACCAGACCTTCCTTGCCTAATCCACTGCTCTAAGAACGCTAATTAAACGATGCAGAGAACGAGCCAAGTTTGCTTCTACCCCAGCCCAAACAGCAATCAGCAGCCTGAGCGATGGCACTCAGCCAGCCATACTGGTCAATATGCTGAGAGCTGGGCTGCGGGCACGATTAAGCTTGTCAATGCCAAAACAAAAGACTGATTGTCATCTTAATTATCCATTCTCTGCACAAAAAAACAATAATTGGTTGTTTGTTTCCCTAGAAATGTGTGGCTTTAGTGGAGATTAAACTGTCATTTGGTGAAATTAGAAAGTTCCATATGGTGTGGTGTAAGATTTCTGTTTCTTCAGTTTCATACCCTGCTTCCACTTCTGGAATGGAATGAAAGTCTACTTACTAATTTTCCCATGATTAGGGAGGAAAAATAAAACAATGATTCCACATTCACTTCCAGAAATATCATACAAGGCGCAAGAAAATAAAACAAAGGAAGTTTAACAATCTGTACCGAGTCCATAGTGACCTAGTCTGCGATAGTGGGTTAAAAGTTAAACGTATATTTCATAGAAGGTTTCTTCACCACCTTTTTAAAAGCCCTTTAGACTGGATGCACCCACTGGGGCTGGTTAAGACATCCCGTTGCTGTGACATTTAATGAATCTTGCAACAGTAAAACCTGGCTCAGGGGACTAGAAAATCCCAGGGCTTTCTTAATTGGTTCCAAAATGTCTATAAAAATCCCTGGGCACAGGAGCAAACAGCATCCCAAGGTTGCTTCCTGCTCCCCATTTTAGAGGAAGACCATAAACCCTGTCTTTTGAACTCTGATGAGAATACAGTGCTTTTAAAACGTTGGGGTCACTACATAAATTCTCAAAGGAAAGCATTTTAAAAGATAGAATAGAAGATCAGAAATGTCCATTTTTTCATAATTACGTACATAGATGATTTAACAGTTCATTTTTACATGAGAATGTATTGGTTATTATTGGAGCTTCCTTTACATGACATCTACAGTGGGGAAAAAAAGTATTTAGTCAGCCACCAATTATGCAAGTTCTCCCACTTAAAAAGATGAGATAGGCCTGTAATTTTCATCATAGGTACACGTCAACTATGACAGACAAAATGAGAAACAAAATTCCAGAAAATCACATTGTAGGATTTTTACTGAATTTATTTGCAAATTATGGTGGAAAATAAGTATTTGGTCAATAACAAAAGTTTCTCAATACTTTGTTATATATCCTTTGTTGGCAATGACACCGGTCAAACGTTTTCTGTAAGTCTTCACAAGGTTTTCACACACTGTTGCTGGTATTTTGGCCGATTCCTCCATGCAGATCTCCTCTAGAGCAGTGATGTTTTGGGCAACACGGACTTTCGACTCCCTCCAAAGATTTTCTATGGGGTTGAGATCTGGAGACTGGCTAGGCCAATCCAGGACCTTGAAATGCTTCTTACGAAGCCACTCCTTCGTTGCCCGGGCGGTGTGTTTGGGATCATTGTCATGCTGAAAGACCCAGCCACGTTTAATCTTCAATGCCCTTGCTGATGGAAGGAGGTTTTCACTCAAAATCTCACGATACATGGCCCCATTCATTCTTTCCTTTACACGGATCAGTCGTCCTGGTCCCTTTGCAGAAAAACAGCCCCAAAGCATGATGTTTCCACCCCCATGCTTCACAGTAGGTATGGTGTTCTTTGGATGCAACTCAGCATTCTTTGTCCTCCAAACACGACGAGTTGAGTTTTTACCAAAAAGTTATATTTTGGTTTCATCTGACCATATGGCATTCTCCCAATCCTCTTCTGGATCATCCAAATGCACTCTAGCAAACTTCAGACGGGCCTGGACATGTACTGGCTTAAGCAGGGGGACACGTCTGGCACTGCAGGATTTGAGTCCCTGGCGGCGTAGTGTGTTACTGATGGTAGGCTTTGTTACTTTGGTCCCAGCTCTCTGCAGGTCATTCACTAGGTCCCCCCGTGTGGTTCTGGGATTTTTGCTCACCGTTCTTGTGATCATTTTGACCCCACGGGGTGAGATCTTGCATGGAGCCCCAGATCGAGGGAGATTATCAGTGGTCTTGTATGTCTTCCATTTCCTAATAATTGCTCCCACAGTTAGTTTCTTCAAACCAAGCTGCTTACCTATTGCAGATTCAGTCTTCCCAGCCTGGTGCAGGTCTACAATTTTGTTTCTGGTGTCCTTTGACAGCTCTTTGGTCTTGGCCATAGTGGAGTTTGGAGTGTGACTGTTTGAGGTTGTGGACAGGTGTCTTTTATACTGATAACAAGTTCAAACAGGTGCCATTAATACAGGTAACGAGTGGAGGACAGAGGAGCCTCTTAAAGAAGAAGTTACAGGTCTGTGAGAGCCAGAAATCTTGCTTGTTTGTAGGTGACCAAATACTTATTTTCCACCATAATTTGCAAATAAATTCATAAAAAATCCTACAATGTGATTTTCTGGAAAAAAAATTCTCAATTTGTCTGTCATAGTTGACGTGTACCTATGATGAAAATTACAGGCCTCTCTCATCTTTTTATGTGGGAGAACATGCACAATTGGTGGCTGACTAAATACTTTTTTCCCCCACTGTAACAAACATTCCTCACTGAAGGATGTACATATGTGACATATCAAAGTGTGAATGCCAAATCTTAGTTTTCATGCGACTCGACCATTAAAACCTTTTTAGAAAATCTCTACGAAAATATATGGTGATCTGGTCTTACATTAAAACACAGAGCTTTAAACTTAAAGTAGATATTACACTTTAATTAATTCCTTCAGAAGTACATTTCTGAAGGAATTAATTATTTCAAAACCTAAATTCCATAACTTACCTAAGCTTTGATAAATGCGTGAGCCGACTTTCTCAAAGATTCCAATTTGTCCATGGATAACTTTAAAAAGTAGACCTTATCAAATTGTGGGCTACATTATTTATATTAGAGAGATGGAAAGCTAAATCATAACTGCTAGACTTTTGGTATCTGAAATTAAATGTGTGTGAATCAAGGAATTCATCCTCAAACTGGATTATACAGCAATTACTGTACATTACAGATGTTTAGTTGAATCAAAGAGTATCTCACTCCTATAATTTAAAATGATGAGGTGCAGACATCTCAATCATGTTCACAGAACTCAACCATGGGAGACTGCCACTCTGCCGTTAATGACCTTTTTGTGAGGCAGTGCCATGATCCACTTCTGAAGGCAAAACTGAATCTGCTAGGCCTGTCCCTGACGCTTTGAAAAAAGTCAAATGCCAAGACTCCTAAAGAGCTCTTAGCAGCCAGTATGGGTTTGAAGATATTCATTACTAGAGTGCCCTAACTGAGACATTAGGTGGTGTGATACGTTTTATTTAGCGGATATTGGTACAGAGTTGAGGAACTAGATAGCATTATCCATCTAGCCTACCTCACATTCTAGTGTTTAGTGCATTATGATATCCAAAAATCAATCAAATCAACAAATAATAAATGTGAATACAATGGGACAATAGTAGATACAGACTTGTTATATTGTGAGCAAACCTGTTTAAACATTGAAAAGTGTAGGCTAGCGGATATCTTACCGTTTCTAACTGGTCCATCAGTTTCACAAGAAACTTCCGGCATTCTGGGGTTTTGCTGTCCAGTTTCATTCCCGTCTGCATGGCATAAAGCCGACCTGACAGAGAAGGAAACAGGTATCACTATTTAATCTCAGAGCAATGCGTCAATGGTGGTGCTTCATGTTTCCCTGAAAATGTTTCTACAATTTGAAAATGTCAATAACCTCTGGTTCCCAGATCTGATCATCAGTCAAGTATTTCATTTGAGATTTTTGGTTATCGTAGACGTTTTAAGCTTAAAACACCAAGTTGATATGGTAAAATCAAAAGTGGACTGGGTACATTGTTCTGTATGTTATGTGGAGGAAATCAAAAATTTGTTTTTGCGTTCAGGGTGAGGTCTTTCAAATTAAAAGTACCCTAATTTACCAAAAGTGTTAATGTGTCCAGCATGCAGTCTGAGAACCTCTAGAAATAGGCCTTACTGGTTTCTTAAAACTTACTTGATTGTTTTCACATTCCTCTCTGTGAGTTATGACACTCACTTTAGGTGAAATTATTCATCCTCTCAACAGTGCAAGTCTGTGAAAGAGGCTGCGTAAATATTAGCATTATTGCGGTTGTCTCCTTAGCATTGTATCACTGAGCACATAACAGCCTGGATAAAGTCTTGGCTCTCATGTTTTTAACACGCTGTCCATCCACCCTCTCCTGCATGTTGCCAGATCCTTGCATGCTTTGATTGTATGCATCCAGGCTCTGGACCATTAGCACCCTTCTCTCAGTTTTCAGAGATTTAAAACATGCGCACACCCAGACATCTGGTGAAGGATGGTCCCATGAGCCTTAACGTCTTCGCTGTGTGCAACTTTTGGTCCACTGAATGTTTTAGTCGTCACTGCCAAGTCCAACAACTCTGGGCTTACAGCTGTTTCCAGTGCTGCAGTTTCCAACCAACAAAGAACTAAGTTCGGGTCCCTGTTTTTGACTTGGTGGAAGACCTGTGTGGGGGGGCTCGGATGGTTGAAGGGCAGCTCTCGGGGAACTGTGGGGTGGGGGGATCTTGTAGGGTGCCTGGCGGTTTGACTTGGTGGGAGACCTGTGTGGGGGGGCTCGGATGGTTGAAGGGCAGCTCTCAGGGAACTGTGGGGGGCGGGGGGGGGGGGGGGGGGGGGGGGGGGGGGGGGGGGGGGGGAATCTTGGAGGGTGCATGGCGGTTTGACTTGGTGGGAGACCTGTCGACCCTGGTTGCTTCTGTGTGTCGCTCTGGATGGGAGTCTGTTAGATGACTAATGTGATGTAGATGTTGAGCGGCTTCACTGCAGGTAGATTGTATGTTTTAATATTCAATAAAAAAGCAAATAACGTACTGAATGATAAAAAGACAGACAACATGACTGTCAAAAAGATGGAAGACACCTGGGCCGTTTTATAAGACAGATTTAATGGATCAACAGATTAAAGAGAAGAGGGACACAAATCAAATGAAGGCGTGCTGGAAAAACTTAAACGCCAAAGCCAAAAAAGGAAGCGGCAGAGGAGAGGCGGGGGTTATTTCAGACCGGAGGGAGGCCTCCATCCAAGGGAATTTATCCTCTCTCCTAGAAGATATGCGAGATGATTCCCCAGCAGTTTGCCCCTCTCCTTAACCCCTATGATGACGACGGACAACTCGACCAACCAATATTTAGTAAGCATAAATAAACTGGTAAACATCAATGACTATAATGCACATTAAAACTAACGTTAATGCTACTTCACTACAATAGTATCGTTATCAGTCCCGTTACAGCATGTTGCATAACTTCATCATTCGTACCAAGGCTGGGCATATCATAAGCCCCAATTAAATTGCTATTAAATCTACTGCAGATTGAGCTCCTGCAAATTCAGAAACTACCTAATTGACAGATATTCAATTCACACATGATGCATGAATGAAGATGTGAGAAGTGACACCTATGACTACAGATGTTGGATCTTAATTTGAACACCCGGTTGTTGCAGAAACTGGTCAAATTAAGATCCTACATATATAGGCTACAGACCTATAATACAAAACACTGCCTGGAAGAAACCAGTCAGAATACGAGCAGAACCGGGAAAGGGCAGAAGAAAAAGCAGAATACTGACTGCTTTGAATGTGTAGTCTATAGCCTGAGGTGTGAGGCTCTGAGTGCCTGAAGGACTTCAGTGAGAGCCTTAATAATGAGCTGTCTCCAACCGGGACAGAACAATCAATCGCTCCAGCTGTAGTTCAAAGTCATCAGCTAGACAAAATAAGACAGGCAGGTGGAAAACTCTGCCTTCCCAGAGCCCATGTAGGTGTCCTCCTCTCTGACAAAGATAATACCTTTCACCACCCACACATTGGCTCTTTAAATTCACACAGGGTGATGGATGCTGCTGTCCCTAAGGAAATTAAAAGATGAGCCACTAGAACAGCTTGTTGCCTAGAGCCTGTCTAGCCAAGAAACATGGCATAAGGGTCTGCTATTCTTCAAAGAGTGACCATGCAATTTGCTAAACAGGGGATTAATAATCATAGAATAGGCTACACCAGACCATGATCAAGCACAATATTTCAACAAATGTTTGTTTCCAAAAAGACACTGTAAAGTACTGTATTTTATTGAGCTCTTGTAAGACCAGTGATGCACTTGTCATTCTGACCTATACGTTTTGACAACTACCTGGCCAGCTGTCTTTGCCTCAAATGCAATAGGTTTCTATTAGACCTGCCTGTGAGCTGAAGTGGACAGAGTAGGCAAGCCAACATCAGCTTCCATTTCAGCAGCACATCAATAGGCCTTTTAGTAAAGGAAAAATATCCAGTTAGACTAAATCAGCAAATGTCACATTTCCAGTCATTACACTGTAAAAGACAGTGAACTTGCAATTACTACTTCCCAGCGGAAAAGAAAACAGCAAAATGTACCCAGCTGGTAGTGCTCTAGGTATGGCAAAAATACAGCGGGTTAATTTAAATAAAGGTGCCTGTCTTTGATACAGGGCTGCTCTCAGTATGAAGCCTATGAGTGGGCAAAAGTAAATGTTTGACTGTAAATGTCAATGTTTACAGACCAAGGAATTTGGTAATCTTTCTTGTCCTGATCAACATTGATAGGCATGAGTCAGTGAGGCAGTAACAGATAGCTTACAGCGCATTCGGAAAGTATTCAGACCCCTTAACTCCTTCCACATTTTGTTACGTTACAGCCTTATTCTAAAAATGTTCCTCATCAATCTACCCACAATACCCCATAAGGACAAAGCGATAAAAAAAAAAAAAAAAAACATAAATACCTTATTAACATCAATATTCAGACCCTTTTTTTATGAGACTCAAAATTGAGCTCAGGTGCACCATGTTTCCATTGATCATCCTTGAGATGTTTCTACAACTTGATTGGAGTCCACCTGTGGTAAATTCAATTGATTGGACATGATTTGGAAAGGCACACACCTGTCTATATAAGTTCCCACAGTTGACAGTGCATGTCAGAACAAAAACCAAGCCATGAGGTCGAAGGAATTGTCCGTAGAACTTCGAGACTGGATTGTGTCGAGGCACAGATCTGTGGAATTGTACCTAAAAAAATTCTGCAGCATTGAAGGTCCCAAAACAAAGTGGCCTCCATCACTCTTAAATGGAAGAAGTTTGGAACCACCAAGACTCTTCCTAGAGCTGGCCGCCTGGCCAAACTGAGCAATCGGGGGAGAAGGGCCTTGGTCAGGGAGGTGACCAAGAACCCGATGGTCACTCTGACAGAGCTCCAGAGTTCCTCTGTGGAGATGGGAGAACCTTCCAGAAGGACAACCATCTCTGCAGCACTCCACTAAAATCAGGCCTTTATGGTACAGTGGCCAGACGGAAGCCACTCCTCAGTAAAAAGGCACATGACAGCCCGCTTAGAGTTTGCCTAAAGGCACCTAAAGGACTCTCAGACCATGAGAAACAAGATTCTCTGGTCTGATGAAACCAAGATTTAACTATTTGGCCTGAATGCCAAGCGTCACATCTGGAGGAAACCTGGCCCCATCCCTACGGTGAAGCATGGTGGTGGCAGCATCATGCTGTGGGGATGTTTTTCAGCGGCAGGGACTGCGAGACCAGTCAGGATCGAGGGAAAGATGAACGGAGCAAAGTACAGAGAGATCCTTGATGAAAACCTGCTCCAGAGCGCTCAGGACCTCAGGCTGGGGCGAAGGTTCACCTTCCAACAGGACAACGACCCTAAGCACACAGCCAAGACAATGCAGGGGTGGCTTGGGGACATGTCTCTGAATGTCCTTGAGTGGCCCAGCCAGAGACCTGAAAATAGCTGTGCAGCGACGCTCTCCATCCAACCTGACAGAGCTTGAGAGGATCTGCAGAGAAGAATGGGAGAAACTCCCCAAATACAGGTGTGCCAAGCTTGTAGCGTCATACCCAAGAAGACTCGAGGCTGTAATCGCTTCCAAAGGTGCTTCAACAAAGTACTGAGTAAAGGGTCTGAATACTTACGTAAATGTGATATTTCAGTTTAATACATTTGCAAAAACCTGTTTTTGCTTAGTCATTATGGGGTGTGTAGATTGATGAGGGAAAAAAAAAACATTTCAATTTTAGATTAAGGCTGTAACGTAACAAAATGTGGAAAAAGTGAAGGGGTCTGAATACTTTCCGAATGCACTGTAATTCTGTTTCATTTATAAATTAGGCCATCTAGGCTAAATTCCGCATTCACGGCAGCAATATTATATGGCCTAAAATAGTGAGCCAAAATACATATATTTCTTTGTTTCTCAAGCTTCCAACAGCAGTAGCCCACCTGGGATGCCATCATAGTGTATGGCAGGTTGAATGCTGCTACATAAAAAATTAACAAGGAAAAGCCTGGGGCTGGAACCAAAATGCCATTCTGGGCCTGTAACATGGTTATCTCCATCTCTCCTATGATAACACTGACTCAATTCAAATGACAATTGAACATAAAACCCCGGAAGGACACGGGTTAAGGTCACCAATTTATGAGACAGAAGCAGAACATAATAATACAGTCACTACTTTAGGATTAGTGAAGGCATTCATATTTGATCATATTCAGTTCAGCTTAGACAATATTTATTATGC